ACCTAGCGAGCATCAGGGGAAGTTCAAGGGAATTGCAGAGAGGCTCGGAATTCCGACCTGGGGCGCTGCTGAATTAACTAAACCTGGAATTACCCACCCACGGGCTCGTTACTGTGTGAAATGAAACTTCTTATTCAGTGACCACAGGTCAGGTATTCTGTTACTTGTAGCTCTTCATATGGCTTCACACACGCACACACACCACTCTACCCATCTGCAAAGTGTGGCAGGGTGAGTAGAGGTGAATCCGTATCATACCACACCAGGAAAGGGTCCTACTGGAGAAAATGACAAGTGAGGAGCCCAGAGTCACCCAGGAGGCAGCATCCCCCACCCTCGGTCCCCACCCCACAGCCAACACACAGGTCAGGGCAATGCCAATGGATTCGCCAAGGGTCGCCCTGCAGGAGGGCGCCTCTCCTCTTGCTGCTCTGCCTTCCATGGTGCAAATGCACAAATAAATGTGCATGCAGAGAATGAATGATTGGGACATAAGCACCCTGAGTATAAATATCAGCTCTTTGGGAGATAATCTGAGAACCCCAGTTACTGTTCAGAAGTCGGTTTTGGCTGCCAAGGGAAAGGACTCCTGAACCCATGATGGACGGCACTGAGGTTCCCTGGACCCACGCAATTTGCTGTCAGGCTGAAAACACTACAGTGACTTCCCACTGTGCTCAGAATAACAGCCAGAGCCCTTTACCTGACTTCCCCTGTCCTTATGGGATCTGGGTCACACCCCTCTCTGACCACATGCCATGCGTCCCTCGCCTTCTCATATACTGGCTCCGACCTCAAGGCCTTTGTACCAGCTGTCCCTGTGCCTGAACACCCTTCCTGAGAGTGCTGTGTGGTGAGCATCTTCTTGATGTTCAGGCTTCTGCTTAAATATTACTCCTTGTATTAGTCAAGATTCTCTAGAGAAACAGAACAAATAAAATATATAATAAATAAAATAAAATATATAAGATATAATAAAATCTCTTCATACATATACATATATGTGTTTATTATGAGGAATTTATTATGAGGCATTGTTTATTATGAGCAATTGTGGAGGCTGAGAAGTCCCACAATCTGCTGTCTGTAAGCTGGAGACCCAGGAGAGCCGCTGGTGACATTCAGAGTCCTCTGGCCTGAGAACCAGGGGAGCCAATGGTGTAGATTCCTCTCCGGGTCTGACGGCTTGAGAACCAGGAGCGCCGTGGTGGGGAGAGGATCAGTGTCCCAGCTCAGGCAATCAGGAAGGCTGAATTCTTCCTTCCTCTGCCTTTTTGTTCTACTCAGGCCCTCCATGGGTTGGATGATGCCCACCCTCACTGGGGAGGCAAATGGCTTTACTGGTCCACTGATTCTAATGCGAATTTCATCCAGAAACACCCTCCCAGACATGCCCAGAAATGTTTAGCCAAATATCCACGCTCTCCGTGATCCAGTCAAATGGACACATGAAGTTAACCATCACCTTCCTTAAGAGCAGCCTTGTCCAGGCCAGCGGTTGCCAGGGAATAAGAGCAAGGGAGGGGGTGGCTACAAACAGGCATGAGGGGATTTTTTGGAAGATGAACTGTTCTATATATTTTGGCGATGGCTGTCGAAGTGTTTGTCAACACTCAGAACCTTACACTAAGAAGGGGGAAATTTTTACTGTATATAAGTCATACACCAAACCTGACTTAAAAAAATACAAACAGTGCAGGAAAAAAAAAGTGGCCTTCTCAGGCCCCCAAGTCAAAAATAGTCCCCCCAGGGCCGGCCCCGAGGCGTAGCGGTTAAGTGTACGTGCTCCACTGCTGGCGGCCCCGGTTTGGATCCCGGCATGCACGGACACACTGCTTGTCAGACCAAGGTGTGGCGGCGTCCCATGTAAAGTGGAGGAAGATGGGCACAGATGTTAGCTCAGGGCCAGTCTTCCTCAGCAAAAAGAGGAGGATTGGCAGGGATGTTAGCTCAGGGCTGATCGTCCTCACACGCATACACACACTAAGTAAATAAATAAATAAATATTAAAAAAAAATAGCCCCCCAGTCTCTCGATAACATGTCACGGTCTGTTTTCTTCATAGGATTGACTGTCTGGACATTCACAGCTCTTATATTTGTCCCACGCCAGAATGTAATAAGCTTCAAGAGTGCTGGGACCTTGCCTGTCTTGTAGGTGGCTGGACCATCAGCTCTAGTCCAGTGGCCAGTACACAAGGGTTAGTGGTTGTAAAGAATAATCACGACTTCGCCCCCTCCTTTTGGAACTTGGAATCAAATGAGAAATGAGTTAGATATAAATCAAGATATACCTGTTACTCGGAGCTCTGTTAGTCCGATGGCCTGCATGTACAGCGTCCTAAGACGTCACCGTCATCAAAGCCCTCCAGCCCTGGAAGCTTGCTGCGTGGAGGAGGAAAGAGGGATCCCTGAGGCTGCTTGGAAAGAGGGCCCCAGAGGGGCAAAGCCACATGGGTCCAGTTTCTCCTTCTTGGCCTTACCAACTAGGTAAATCCCTTCTCTACCCTTGGAGAAGGCTGAAGGGCACAAGAGAAAGACATAACCTGCTCTCTCCAACCTGCAGAAGTGAGTCGAGGGTGGATCCTTCACCCCTGGCAGAGAGTAGTGCATTGGACAGAATATAAGGTGGCCCCTGGTGATCCCTTCCCCCTGGTGTTCCCACCCTTGTGGGATCTCTTCCCCTTGAGTGTGGGCTAGACTCGTTACTTGTAGCCAAATAGAATATAGCAAAGTCTATGGGATCTCACTTCTGTGATAACATGAAATTGTAAGTCTGTTTTGCAGAGAGACTCTCTCTCTTGCTGGCTTTGAAGAAGCAACCTTCCATGTGGAGAGAGCCATGCAGCAAGTAGCTGGGAATGCCCTCTGGCTGAAGAAACTGAGGTCCTCAGTCCGGCAGCCTGCAAAGAAATGAACACTCCCAGGAACCACCTGAGTTTGGAAGAGGTTCCTTCCCCAGTCGAGTCTCTGATGAGACTACTGCCCCACCTGACACTTTGTGGCCTTGTGAGACCCTGAGGCAGAGGATCCAGCTAAGCCATACCTGGACTCCTGACCATAGAATCCATGACATAATAAATATCTTAAGCTGCTAAGTTTGTGATTATCTTGCAAACAGCCATAGATAACTAATACAAGTAGGTACTTAATAAATATTGGTGGAATGAATGAATTTCCAGCTCCTTCAAGAGCTTTTTCAGTACTCATCTCCTCCTCAAACTGACCATAAGAGGGAGGGACTATTTTTTCTATTTTCCAGATAAGGAAACAAAGGCCAATGGAAGTTGACATTTGTCTAGTGTCACAAGAAATCATTTAGTAGAAAATCCAGGATGCTAACACAGGTTTGAATCAAAAACTTGTTGCCTTCCTGTTTAGGCAGTAACTTTCCAAAGTGGGGTACATGTACTGTTGGAGGGCCAGGGGATGGTCATTGCTCAAGATTCTCCTTTAGACACAGAAGGAAGGCATTATGTATTTTTAGCTATATAATATATACATATATAAGGTGATATATCTACCTAAAAGGACTAAAATAATAATGCTTTATTAGTGTTTACCACAAGCATCAAAGGTGGCTGCCTCACCTGGTCTATATGTCAGATGGTTACATGTCCCGTGTGGGGGAAGAGGTATTCTGAAGGAAGATTGGGACTTCTCTAACTCAGAAGGACTAACCGTGGCACCCCTCTCCCCTACATTCATCTCACAAAAACCACAGCCTTTTGGTCCAACATACAAGCATTATATAATCTGAACTAACTCTCCCAGACAATGTAGGTGTTTAAAAAATATTCTTGGAAAGAAACCACAGATTGAAGATAACGCTAATAACACAAGCCCAAGTAAACTACAGGGCTGATATTTCTCCTATGCCTGGCATTAACTTTTCTTCAGCCACATTACAGGAGCGAGGGGAGGCAGATCAATCACCACCTAATTTGAACAAGCCTAAAAACATGTCCAGGTTTGAAAAACGATGCTTGAATGTGAAGATCAAATGAGTTAGTCATAGACAGTGCTTAGAACAGAGCCTGGACACACAATAAGGGCTGTGTTAACTATCATCGTCTTTCATCATCATCATCATTGTGGATTAGAGAAATAAATTTAAGAAATCATAAAAGGTACATATGGTTAAGAACACGAGAGTTTCCCACTCTCCTAGGAAGAGACTGACTGTTCTGTCGCCATGGCAACAAGTAGCTACTCAAACACATGTAAACCCATTCAATGGCTCCAAGACAAGTGGCCTCAGCAAACATGCCTTTGCAAGCCAATCAATGATTCCCCTTAGCTTCTGAAATTGAGCCAATCAGGAAGGGATTTACTCTGATGAACACACCCATGACTGCCAGTCTCACCTGAGTAACTACATGGCAGCTCACCTGAAGATCCACCAATCCTTGTACTTTTGCTTCTCCAAATCCCTACCTACAGAGAATAGCGGTCTGCTCTACGCAGACTGTGGTAGACCAGTTCTCCTTTACTACACTAAGTAGTAAGTTCAGCTTTGTGTTTCTATTTCAGACACTGAGTGACAGTCACATCACCCTTTGACATTTAGGTAAGTGCTTTAATTTTTTTTTTAAATCAGTGGTGTTGTATTACCAAATTTGGGGGCCACTTTTAAGAACCTAAATCCTCCCACCTCTGCTCTTGAATCCCATCCCCACTGGTCAAGAAGGCCACTTGACACTTTTTCCAAATGCTCTCAGTGTTTATTTTATTTGAGTCCCTCTACACGCTCCGAGGTAGGACAGACATTTCATAGATATTGAGGTTCTATGACTTGAAGGTCACAAGCCTATGTCAGAGGCAAATGCAATAACCAGGTTATATCGGACACAAGAGAATCACTACCAACGAGGGCTTCATGAGGATCAGAAACCATTTTCCATCTTTGAGAAGGAACTCCTGGGCAGAGCTTGCCTGGAGAAGATAGCTTTTAAAGTTCCTCCATCAGAATAGGTGTGGGTGGGGAGGGTTTTCATGTCTTCAGTTTTTCCACCAATACCGGTCATCCTCGTCAAAAGAATACCAACCATCATCAATTATTATATGCGGCTTGAGTAGCTGTACCTCCTCCAGCATCTTTCTTATTTGAGCAGGATATTGCCTTTTCCACAGCCTGGGGAAGCAGAAGGGGGACTCATTACTCTGGGACTTTGCTCCCGACTTTTCTCCTTTCCTCAAAATTCTGGGAAACCCCATCAAGGATCTGAAACCTCTTCTTGAGGAGCAGAAGCATGATCCCCCATAGAGTGAAAATAAATCCTTACATGGAAAGGAACACTTAGATGTATCAGATACTACACTGAGCTGTTACAGGCATCTGCCCCTCACAACAAACCTAAGAGGCAGGCATGATTACTCATCCACCCATGAACTCCTGCCCGAGAACTGACTTTAAGCCAGGTCCTGCTATAGGGTTTGGAGGCACAGTGATGAACAAGGCAAAGTCCCTACCCTCATGAAGCTTATATTCTAGGAGAGGAGAGAGAAACACGTATTCAAATAGATATATAGCTTCATCCTCCTTTTATGGGTGGGAAGCCAGGCTCCTGAAAAGTCAATTAGTAAAATCCAGGTCTGATTCTTCTACTCCACTTCAGCTACTAAGTCCCATAGTCACAAGCTGATCTTGTCAAAGGCTGTATTGCCTCACGAATCATTGGTAAAAATACGCTGTCTTTCAACTCACTCTTCTGCCTTTTCAGCTCGTTTGCTGAAGTGACTGCTCTAACCATTCTCTTTGACCACATCAAGATCTCCCAATCCACTGAGCCATGCTTTCTCATCCATCCCTCCTCCCCCCCTTCACTTCTCTCCTATCCCCCTCACAATCCCACACTACAACTACTCTTGTGTGCTTTCTGGTTACATCCATCTGCCAAAACTTGACCCCTGGATAAAGCCAACCGCTGAGAGCTGGACCTTACAGGAGAGAACACTTACTCAACTAGGAAGTTTGCTATTGATACAAATGCAGCACGACCAGCCTCAATGGGCTGTCCATTCTGCAGCCCACGTTTCTCCAGTCAAGTTTTACTTCCCTAATCGTAACTGTACCTCCTCACTCTCAGGGTTCTGCTTAACTTCTCTTCTGTCTGCGAACATGGGGTACTAAATGGCAAATATTCTTTCTACCATCAGAGAAACTCCATCTATAAGCCCTCATTTGAACATGAAGGCAGCACCCTAATCTTAAAGGATAGTCCTACTAATCTTCAGTGACCTTTAATCTCAGCTCTCCAGAACGTACAACGTGGAATCCTTAAGTTTCATTTTCAACTGCTCGCTCTAGAAGACACGGTTGGGCATATTCTGATACTATCTTAACAGAAGCGTCTTGACTTGAACCTTTAGCCCTACCCACTTCTTTCCTCTCCCCTCCAGAGCAAAAACTTTCCTAGTCTGCACACATTTCCCCTTCCTCTCTCATTCGTTCTTCAGTCCAGCTCAGCCTGACTTCTACTCTCATTGTCCCACCCAAACTGCTCAAAGCGGTTAATCATCTCCAAGCTGCCACAGCCAGCAGACTCGCTTCTCTTTTCATCTTTCTCCTCTCCCAGCAGCATTAGACGTAGTGCTCACGTCTTTCTTAAAACCCCATCTTCTTAGATTTTGTGAAGCCACATCTCCCTGGTTTTCTTTTTAAGTATCGCTGCTACTCCTTATCCTCCTTTGCTGGCTTCTCTCATCTTCCAAACAGAAAGACGATAGTGTTTCTCATGTTCTAAGGCACTAAGTTCTTACATGTGTCAACTTATGAGAATTTAATGTGATCATTTGTGTCTGGTTTCTTTCACTTAGCACAATGTTTTCAGTTTATCTACATTCTAGCGTGTACCAGGACTTCATTCCTTGTTGTGGCTGAATAACAGTCCATGGTACGGATATATCACATTTTGTTTCTTCATTCTTTTTTTTTTTTTTTAAAGATTTTATTTATTCATTTTTTTCCCCCCAAAGCCCCAGCAGATAGTTGTATGTCATAGGTTCACATCCTTCTAGTTGCTGTACGTGGGACTCGGCCTCGCGCTGGACGGAGAAGTGGTGCCTTGGGGCGCGCCCGGGATCCGAACCCGGGCCGCCAGCATCAGAGCGCACGCACTTAACCGCTAAGCCACGGAGCCGGCCCTATTTCTTCATTCTTATATTGATGGACGTTTAGGCTGTCTTCACCTTTTGGCTACAGTGAATAATGCTGCTGTGAGCATGCTCATGCACGTATTTGTTTGACTACCCGTTTTCCATTCTTTTGGGTAGTATACCTAGGTGTGGAATTGCTGGGTGATGTGGTAATTGTTTTACTTTTTTGATGAACTGCAATTTTTTTAATTTTTATGTTTGTGAGGAAGACCAGCCCTGAGCTATCATCCAATGCCAATCCTCCTCTTTTTCCTGAGGAAGACTGGCCCTGGGCTAACATCCGTGCCCGTCTTCTTCCACTTTATATGGGATGCCACCACAGCATGGCTTGACAATGGGATCCGAACTGGCAAACCCCGGGCTGCAGCAGTGGAGTGCGCACACTTAACCACTTGCGCCACCAGGCTGGCCCCTGCAATTTTTTTTTAAAACTTTCTCTTTAATCAGGAATTTTAAAACTTAAGCCAGATCACTCAACTGCTTGAACTTTCCCTTTGGCTTCTCATCCCATTTGGAAGAAAATTCAAAATTTTAAAACTCTGGTCTCTAAGGTGCTTCCCCATCCATGAGCTGGCTGTTATCTGTGTCGTATTTTACCACCATCTCCTTCTCTCCCTAACTCCAGGTCTCCTCAGAGAGAATATGGGAGGTCTGTCCTAGGAGTCTCTGCTCTTAAGTCTCCCTCAGTTGGGAAGGTTCCTGTCTCAGACCTTCACACCCTGCCTTTGCCTTCAGGACTCAAGTCCAACATCTGTTCCCCAGTGAGAACTTCTGACCACACAATCTAAATTAACTCCACGTCCAGTCACTCTCTCTTACTATTTCATTTTCTCTTTAGCATGTACCACCTAGAGTAATCCTGAACATTTAAAAACAATTTTAATTGTAGTAAAAGATGTATAACATAAAATCTACCATCTTAACCATCTTTTGGTGTAAAGTTCAGTGGCAATAAGTATATTCACATTGTTGCGCAACCATCACCACCATCTATCCCCAGAACTCTTTTCATCTTCCCCAACTGAAATTCTGTTCTCATTAAACAATAACTCCCCATTCCCTGTCCCTCAGCCCCTGGAAACCACCATTTCACTTTATGTATCTATGGATTTGATTACTCTAGGTACCTCACATAAGCAGAATCATGCAGTGGTTTTTTGTGTGTGTCTGGTTTATTTCACTTAGCATAATGTCCTTAAGGTTCATCTATGTTATAACATGTGTCAGAATTCCTTTCTTTTTTAAGGCTGAATAATAGTCCATTGTATGGATAGACCACATTTTGTTTATCCCTTCATCTGGTGATGGATGCCTGAGTTGCTCCCCCCTCTTGGATATTGTGAATAGTGCTGCTACGAACATGGGTGTGCAAATCTCTCTTTGAGATTCTGCTTTTAATTCCTTTGCGTATATACCAAGAAGTGGAATTGTTGGATCACATGGTAATTCTACTTTAGTTTTTTTTAAGATAAACATTTTATTTGTATGGTGTCTCTCCAGTCACCCCCAATCCATCCAAAAGTAAGCCCCATGAGATCAGGCACCTTGGCTCTATCTCCCACACTCCTGTATCCCCAGCATCCAGCACAGTGCCTGGAATATAGTGGGCACTTATTGGCTGAATAAAGATCTGGTTGCTGAGCCATGATCTCACCCTCTCTGATAAACTGCTTCTCCAACTAGCATGCCTGTAATAGCAGGTTTGTATCTCAGACGACAATCACCAGGGACTTACCCAATTATTTGTAGATTAGATGTGGGATGTGCAAAGGCTGAACACAGCTTCATCATTCCCCTCGTACTGAAATTATTCCGCATCAGGTTTAGGCTGGTCAGGTGCTGGTTACAGGAGAGGGCCGAGGAGAGCACCTCACAACAATCAGAAGTCAATTCACATGCCTCCAACCTGTAGGGCCAGGACACCCAGGACATAACCCCAAAGATCAATGCTCCATCCTTCCTTCAACCCATTTGACTTTCACACCAACATTTAAAAAAAGAATCGTGGCACGATTTCATCTTTTTTATTTTTATAGCTGAGTAGTATTCCATTGTATGTATATACCACATCTTCTTTATCCATTCGTCCATTGGTGGGCACTTGGGTTGCTTCCAAGTCTTAGCTATTGTGAATAATAAGGGTGCATATGTCTTTTCAAATTAGTGTTTTCACGTTCTTTGGATAAATACCCAGAAGTGGAATAGCAGGATCATATGGTATTTCTATTTTTAATTTTTTGAAAACTCTCCATACTGTTTTCCATAGTGGCTGCACCGATTTACATTCCGACCAGCAGTGTGTGAGGCAGTCTATACAGAAGTCGAAACATAATGATGTATACTTGAAATTTATATAATGTTATAAACCAATGTGACTTCAATTAAATAAAAAAATAAATGAAAATAAAAAAGAACGGTGGGCTCCATCTGTGAAGTATCTGGTTCAGTAGGTCTAGGGAGGGACCCGAAAATTCGCGTTTCTAATGAGTTCCCAGGTGATGCTGCCGCTGCTTCTGGTTCCCACAACGAGAGCTGCTGGGTGACTCAATTATAGTTGTGGAAAGGACCAAAGATAAAGGTTGAGAAAGCCTGTAACAAGGGAACAAAACAAGGAACACAGAGAGGGACTTGCTGAGAAAGTCCCATTTCACCTAAAACTTGAAAGATGAGGAGAACTGAGCTAGGTCAATGGGGGAAGGAAGTATTGATACACGCTTCAGAAATTGCATGTACACTGTCCCTGTGGAAGGAAGGGGTAGACATGTCTGAGAAACGAAAAGTCAAGAAGGTGGCCTGAGTGGAGACAGAGGCAGCGATATGAGATGAGGCTGGACGTTATAGGACACATTAAGGATTTAGGATTTTATCCTAAGAGCAATGGAAAGCCAAAGAACATTGTTAGATGTAATAATGGTACTGTAGTAGTGTTCTTATATTTTGGAGATGCATTGTTCAGGTATTTACGGGCGGGATGTCAAAATCTGTAACTTGCTATGAAATAATTCACCAGATAGATAGTTTAAACTAGGTGGTGGGTTTATAGATTTTAAATGTCCCAATCATTCTAGATTTTGTATATTTGGGAATTCTTATGATAGAGAAAAAAGTCTGTGGGATGCAACTCAAGTAGTTTTAGCCACCTATAGCTAGACGGTGAGATGGGATTGAATGAAGGCTTATTATTACTATTGTTGCTGGTTTTTCTTCTAAAATAATATCCAAGCATTTATGAAAACAGAAACTCGCTAGTAGGGAGGCTGAGGGTAGAGGCAAGGGGGAGGTGATTCAATGATAGGATAGGGCATTTCGTAGACAGGTGATTATGGGATTCCCAATATGGGTGAAGCTAACCTCAGAGTAGTAGGGATGCTCCCTTTATTGTTTCAGAAAGGAAGGAATGTGGGTGCAGAGATTAATTGGTTTCATGGTAGAAAGTCCAGAGCTTTTCTGTGAAATGGTTTTATATTGATTTGAAGGGGGTGAGGTCATTTCTTAAGCACCAGAAAGAGCAAGGTAAGTTCAAAAGTTTCCAGAGAGTGTAATTGGTTTGAAATTATTGTTTCTGGGAGTGGGGAAAGCAAGTCAACCAGAAAAATGCAACACTGGGAAGATAGAAATTTACATCAATGACCACTGACTGTACATGACACCAACTTGCCCTTGTTTGCCTTTTTTCTCCACTTTGCTTGTAATTCTCCGCTACCTAAGTGCAGGTGCTCAGAGGGTGGAGAGTGGGGTTCTTCAAAGCTTAGAGTATTTCTAGGTGGATGCAGCCAAGTCAAGAAGACTATAGGACATGGAAGCTAAGAGGAAAAAGGAGGTAGAGATGGGCACGACTGCACAGAGAGAAGTGGAGGGGGTGACAGAATGGAAGTGGCGATGAGCTTGAAGAATGATGTGTGATTTAAGGAAGGAAATAGGTCCTCAGATTAAACCCCTTGCCCAATAAAAGAGGAATATTACTCTTCCCCTCAGTGTCATGGGGGTTATAAATAATGTATGCACGATGCCAGCACATGGTCGGTACTCAATAAACGGTGTCAAATATCACATTCTAGGGTAGTTCACAGTGTTGTGCAACCATGGCCTCTATGTAGTTCCAACTTATTTTTATCACCCCAAAAGGAAATCCATACCCATTAAGCAGTCCCTCCAGGCCCTGGAAATCACCAGTCTACTTTGTGCCTCTACAGATCTGCCCATTCTGCATATTTCATACAAATGGAATCACACAACATGTGACCTCTTGTATTTGGCTTCTTTCACTTAGCCTAATGTTTTCAAGGTTTATCCACGTTGTAGCATGGGTTGGTATTTCATTCCTTTTTTATGGTTGAATAATATTTCATTGTATGTACCAGCACACTGTTTTAACAAACCTCCCAAGTGATTCTGATGCTTACAAAGTTTGAGAACCACCAGTGTCATCACTTGCTTTTTGGTCCATCTTTCTCACCAGCCACATATATTGCAATGCCAAGGTCATTTACCTCCAAATTTCTACCATTTGGCACCATGTCTAGCACACCTGGGTTGCCCAATAAACATTTATCGAGTACTAACTACCTCCAGACTCTGTTCTCAAGCATTTGCCATTTCAGTCACTTCTTATAAGAGCCTGGCTGGAATTTATGCCTCCGTCTATTACTCTGCCAAGGTTGTATGCCGTCTAATTTAATGGAATCGTGCAAGTCGGAACGCCGTCTTTGTTCAAGCGACTTCACACTCGAGTCCCCCTTCCTCTGTGTCCAGCCCTCCATGAGGTGATCCCAGGAACTTACCCGAGTCTCCTCAGAGGACTCTTCCTTTGCTTCAACCCCTCGCACAGCGCTGCAATTCCATTGTCACCCAGGGCGTTGGCGGCAAGATCCAGGCTCTTCAGGCGTTTGCTTGTTGTGATCACATAGGACAGTTTCTTGCAGCAAGCGGCAGAGAGATGACACTTCACCAGTCTGCAGGAGGGGAGAGAGAGAAAGAGAAGAGAAGAGAGGAGAGGAGAGGGGAGGGGAGGGGAG